GGAGAAGACAATTTGAGTGTCGGCAGGAAACTGTTTACAAGTGTAATTGATGCATAATGTCTATCTAACAGTTTACGGGTAAATTAACCAAAAATACTCAGCTCATAAGAAATTTGTTGACCTATGTTGCTTGTTTACAGCAGCTACGGATCCTGTCACTCTCGAATAGCTCGCCATCGACTTCATATGCAAAAGAGGGTCATCTACACATATCGCGAGAAGACCTGAGACAAAGCTGTAATGCACACACGAGCAGTACCTCTTCAAGCTGCTAGGCATTGACTTTCACACTACAGGTATGCTTCTTTTTCGCGTCTATCCGAAAACGTGACTGCTTCCATATCGATAATCACCATCTTCATTACCAATGCCCCTGGCGACCGTCGACTGTAACTCTGGGCTCTTACCATTACAGACCTGCCAAGAATTCCGCGTAATACAGATCTTGTGCATTAAAGTTTGCGGCGCAGCTGTCATCTCGCTTGAAACAAGAGCACCTGTGCGGCTGTATCACGTATCAGCTCGACCTCACATCCGGGGTAACAAGCTTGCGCGTTGCAGGGCGTACAAGTCCATCTGTGCCTCCCTTTCGTGTTCCAACACTGAGGCGGAGCGTTTCTGAAAGGCGGCGCTCGCTGTTGAGGATTATACCTCAGCCGCATCATGCGTTGTTAAGTTTGTAGTGAGGGGTTTGATGAAGTCAACTTCAAAGTATGTCTCCAGGCGAGAGGGGAAAGCCGTTCTCTCGTCGCAAACTAGGTATGGAAATATCTGCTCCCCTCAATTATGACATGATCTGTGGTCGATGGCTTTCCCGATGCTCGCTTAATTGGTGACAGATTCGTTGAGTCTGTTCTACTGAATTCCCTGGTGCCACGTCGCTCATTTGAAGCTCAAGAATCAGATCATCCACGCTCCGTGATCAGAGTGACGGTCTGCCAACGACGATTGATTTTTTATGGAACAAGTGTACGACCATTCCGTGTTATTCACAGCAAGACAACGCTGAGGGCATTCAACCTGGTTCCATCAAGGTTTACCCTTAATGGTAATTCGTGACAGGAGTTATTTCCAGTCGTGTTTCCGTAGACGGTGTCAAATACCGAGGCATACCGATGCTGTCCGGACGGTGTGCTCCCGCAATCCGGTGCAATGCTGCGGGTTCAGCGCAGCAAACACAGTGTGGTACACCAACCAATAATCTGCTTCGTAAGGCAGTCTTTCACGCACTGTATACTTTGATCAAACTGCAAGGTCTGTGGCCTCATCGTGCAGTAGTTGCCGGACAGGCCGTGTCTAGCGGCTTTCTCGAAGGAACTTGGAACGCTCGTCGTGTGCTTTTCAGTGGGTTTGCATGAATCGCGGTGGTTCCGCTACTAAAGCACAAACGTCGATCAGGTCCCCTATTTTTTGCTTCATTTTCTCGCGGTTCGATGAAATAATCATTCAGTCGATCCTGAAACCTGAAATGAACGATTAATTGCTCAATTTCCAAACAGCGCATCTACCACCCCCATCAGGTCTTTAGACTTAACTGAACCTGGAGAAACACGGTTCGGGCTAAGGCACAGGGAACCCCAGACTAGACCTGAAGGAGCCTCGGGTGCACAAGGTCGGTCCGAAAGGGCCAGCTTGGTCTGGATGGTGGGCAAGGCTGAGAAGAGGCTTTGTCGTTTGAGGGAGGTGATTGGTTGGTTTAGGTAACGAATCGTGTTGCGGCTTGGCGTTTTGGTGATGTTGTCCTTGTCCTTGTTGAGCGGTGACGCAGCCACGGAATTGTCGTGTTTGAAGGGTCACGACACGACACGACACGACACGACATCGGATGCTCATGCTCATTAATTACCTGTCTCTTTCTCGTATGTCAGATCATCAACAGTAACTCTGCAATGCGAGGTTGTTCTGGGGACAGTTGCAATCTGTCATGTGTCAAGGTTCCGTCCCACTGGCACGGGGATGCAACGTCGCATTAATGCTACACGAATGTCAGGTGTTTTGTTGAGCATTCCTCCAAATCTTAGTCAGCCAGTCAGCCACCATCTCGCCGCCTACCCTAAACACTCTCGTGATATTGCATCAGCATTCATTTGCGGTTCCTTGCTATTGACCTCGTATTGTCCATGGTGAGGCTCAGTTCTAACTAGAAGATTGGCCAGCATTACTTCTCAACATGAATCTGGCTCACCAATAAATCTTCGAGTCTTCTTGAGAGCATTGTGGCTTTCACCATTTGTTATTCCCATCGTACGAGAATCACAGTCAAACAAGACTCCACGAGTAAGAACAGAGCCAAAACATCATTGTCGATCAGTGGAGCTGATTTCCCTCGCCTAAGATTCGTTATTCTCCATATTAGTCTAGACTCACCATGATATGATGCTCCAATTCTCCCAGAGGCTATCGGACCTCGCCAAGAGCAGCAAAGTTTTTCCTTTCGAAGGATTTAAGGGGTTCTATAGAAAATAAGCTATTGGAGCCAGTGGGGATCCTTGAAGATAGTCGAAAGACGTGAACTGCCTATCGTCTCCAGTATCGTGAGGAAGTCTCTAGGGTAATTCGATCAAGCATGGCTGATGGAACGCCTCTCTTCACATGCAGCAGAGGATAACCTAATCTGGCATGATGCTTTACAAATACCTACTAGCTTCGTCAAGAGGATTTATATGATTGCACGAAGACTTGCCATTTTCAGCCATTCCATTGCAAGCTGGCCAGTTACCGATGAGCGGCGCAGGATCGACGTCAACGGCCCCACAACTGCCGCTCGACTACCGGAGTGTCTTCCGACTTCCTGTCTCCATATACGCCGCTGTATGTTGGTCATGGCTTCGGTAATTGCCGAGAGTTGAAGAGGCACAATGGTGATATCACGACTTCGTATAAGCCCAACCTCGACGTTGGGATGTTGAGGTCTGGGGGATGGCTTGCGACGTTCTTGTCCAGCCACTTCTTCCCCAGTGCTCGATGTTTGTTGCTGTACGATTAAGGTTCCATTTAAAGTAGAGGAGGCTAGTTTAAGAGACGGAAATAATACGAGAATGCTTATTTGGAGTGGTCGAAACTTCCCGATGGCCTGATTTGTTTCGTCACAGGGCTGAACTGGCTGTAAAAGATATGCATATTAAAGAGGTTGGAGAAGTAATATGGCTGCCTAGATTACAACAGCATCATTGGCTTTTACTTCTCAGCGATGGCTCAAGGCTCCAGATGCCGTACAATGACATGTGATCGGAATTGAGAGTATAGGGCCATAACGGAAAGTCCCTGCATATGAGAACCAACAGTAGTTGGCTATCGGCCGAGATGCGAGTGTAGGGAATCACTTACTAATACTGGTGGGCGTAATACGAGTAGAGTTGACTTTGAGAACTACGTGAACGGCCATAAGCACGCAAATCAGTAATAGGGGACCCGCGAAGCAGCAGTACGCGCATTTTCAGTGGCAACATCCACAAATCCCACTTGCCCAAGACTGCTTATCTTGGAGAATTCGGTTCAAGTAACACCGTGTATAGCAAGTGATGGTTGGATAGTGAAGCGTCGCGAGACAGGCGTTCGATACGTGCATGCATGAAGTCAAGATCACTCAAACCTTGGGCAATCATGTCACGCGAAGACACTCTTCAATTTCCCGTAAATCCTCCTTATCGAAGATTAATGGAATTAGAATGAGCTTATAGGGTAGCTGAAATGAAGTTCGACGTGATGGATTCTGAGTGACCAGCGAAAAGATCGTGTTCTACGAGGATTGAAGTGGTATCAATTCCTAAGCTGACGGCGAACCAGGAATGGAAATGGCAACCGTCACTAGTGAGTGCTAAGAATGTAATACTCCTGTTAAATTAATGAGATGTTCTACATTTTAACCACTGCAATACACGTTGCTCCATGTTTCCAATGCCAATTTCTTTGCCAGACCACTATGTGTAGGTGTGACTCCCCCTATCAGCATACGAGCAATGTCAGCCGCTCCCTACTTCATTCCGATTTGAATACTACGATAACAGAATATTGAAGCAACCCACTGATCTAGGGGGCCTGTGGTTCCATTTTACTTCACACGAATCAGCGGAATGAAAGCCTGGTTGAATGAATATGACAAGACGGTATGAGACACTATGGTGCTATTGAGGAGGGAAGAGACATCAGGTCAGCTCACGAATAGGAACCGTTCCATAACTCTCAGTCCTCCTAATTCCCGTTTAGACCCGGTGACCAGGTGTGATGAGAATGGTTGATGTTACTTTAAGCTTGCAGAGACCCTGGACAGTTTCCCAGAACCAACAGCCGTGGCGCTCAATTTCAACAGACATGTCACATTTCTCTTCTCTATGTCTTATTCAGTGTAGTATAGAATGTTATGCAGGTAAGACATGGGGATCCGGCATCTGTTTCGGACGGGAATCTCAGATTTCGGAGGTCATCCCGACGGGTGCGAGTAACAGTTTCTAATATTCCAGATCGGAGATACTAGATCATGCTATGTTGAAGAGAGGGAAAGAGTAGGGACATGACACTAATACAAATGAAAGCAGCCTAATCGAAGTTCAGAAGGCTGATATGCCCCCTGTGGGCGAACCCATGCCAAATTTGGGAGGATCCAACGGAGATCTGGCAGCAACATGCCGGATGAGATCCGTCTCATGCATAATTTAGACTGCTAAATGCATGTATAAGAACGGAAAGATCTAGCGGCCTTCCAGAATATTCTTACCGTAGGTTGACACTGGCCCTTGAAGTTTCGACCTTGATGGCCTTCAGCATCATGAATCATCCCCTTTCCTTACCACCACTTCCTCTGTGTTCCCCCATCAAATCCTTACTGAAAAGCTTGAACACTAACCCTAACTACACCTTCTTTTCTGAGCATTTGTAAACGAGTTAAATGGCGGTGTGCACCAAAGACATAGTCTTCAGGCAACTGGTACCGACAACAACGTTGCACTCTCAACCATCGAACCATTCCAAGCTACCATGGAAGAACCTCAATACTGCCGTCGGTCAGATTAACGTGTCGCAAACTCCGTTTGGAGAACAGTCCAAGTGGTGCAAACCGTTCGATCAAGTTACACCGCAGTCACACCAGATGCCGTTACCCCTATCCGTACAACACCCAACCGCCTCACCAGTACCACAGAACCAGCAGGGGACATAATTGGTTAGTCTACGAATATGCCACCGCAGCTTTGACAGAACCTGCAGTGATATGTCTGCGAATTCGCAGCACCCGTGTAAAGAAACGGCAAACAGGCCATGATCAACGTTTGATAAGAACTCGAAGTCTTGAGTGCCTCCCGAGCTCGGCATAGTAATGCTGTGTAAGTGGATTATATCTCTACTTAAGGAGCGCTATGGCTTGCTAGGGTTTGTAATGTCTCTTGATGAGGAGACGGAGGATATACTCTGAATAACTGAACCTGATTCACTCTCTACAGTGGCTTCTACTGCACCATGGGCATGCTTGTCCTCTTTTTCGTTATCCTAGTCGCAGGGGCCTACGTTGCTGTGGCCCAGCAGCAGCCTTTTCATGCTTCTAGAAATGCTGTTTTGTCGGTGGATATACTTCCCTCGCTTCCAAAGTCTTTCAATCCTATTCCAACCACAGTTCTGACTGTGGACTGTCTTTTCTGTTCTTCTACGGACGATGGGGAGGTTTCTTCTTCCACTTTCGTGGATACTACGACATATACACAGATATTCAGCATTGGGACCGAGTTCCCTGAACCGTCATTGTCTGTAGAGGCATCTGGGACGGTAATCTGCGCACCGCATTGTCAAACCTTTGTGACTGTTTCTTGGTATGATGCCCTGTTTCTTTCAAGGAGAAGCTATACTAACTACAGATAGGAAGAGTGGTGAATCGAAGGTTGCCCCTCTTACTCCCGTCCCAGTGGCAACCACTTGCATCACGATATTCAACACCCCTATTCCTATTCCCCTTCGCACGACAGATATGTGGACTCCAGTCATTCCATCACCTTCTCTATCAACATCGACGTCGTGCTCGACTACTGACACGGACTTGTCTCCTTGGACGTGGCCTCAACCTGGGCCTTCCATATCGACCGAGCTGGTTTCGAGTGGGCTAGGAATACCTCCATGGACATCAGCAGCAACAGAGGAGGCGACGTCTGTTTCAGAATCGACGTCGGGAGTTACAGTGGTCTATCCCAGTGGCACAGAGATAACACCAACGTGGTCATTCGTGTCTGTTCAGACATCTCCAGCTACGGAAATGCCAGCGTCAACGTGGACGTCAACATCAACACTGACTGAAGAGGTCACTGTCTCGGAACCGTGTACGACAGAGATCACGGTAACAATGACCAAAACCTTCTATGAGACATGGGAGTCCAAGGCACTTCAGACAATCACGCTATCTCGTACAATATCGACCACCATCGAGACAGTGACTGTGGAGGCTTATTCTACGTCGACAGGAGAGGTTGTGGTCGAAGGTACGAAGACGGAGTTAACAACCGTTGAGGCTGTTAGTTCGGGTGTAGACTGTTCGGAGGCTGGAAAGTGCTGCGCTGCTTGTTCAGCTACAGCTGAGTCTATCGGCGTTGAGACGGCGACTTCAACTCTCGTGGGAACATACACGACTGTCGAGGAGTATGTGTCTTCTGCCGGGGGCTCTTGGGTGCCAGCTGGGTCTCCCTCTGGGGCTGCAGTCGTTCCTGGCACGGAGGGCTCAACTCTCACAACCTCAGAGACACTTACAGAGACGACAACCATATCTGGTTCGTACGCTGAGTCGGAGACAGCCGGCCCAACGTCCGTTCAGACTGCGGGAGCCGCCCATGTGACGGCAGCTGTGGGAATAGGGGCTATTTTTGGTCTAATGGGTTTGTTGGCTTGATTCCATCAAGCAACCGAGGAGCGGAGCAAGGGAGGAGAATGAGCTTGGATACTGAATCATGTTAATGGACTAGAGAGTTTGGCGCGTCAACCGTTGATGGTTGCATAATGGGCTAGTGTTTTTTTGAGTGAAGACTGCTGATGTACCATGATAGTCTTGGGATAGCAAACACAGAGTTAGGTCCACAATCTTGTCCATCTTGACTCAAGGAGTCCGGGAAAGATCAGCCGATTGTGATGCAAGCGCTGAGCAAGACGAATGTGCAGCGCTTCGTTATCAAAAGGTCTATCATCATCTAGACCCTGTCACTTGTTTGCAAAGTCGTCTAGACATGGCTGGCTGAGGAACTCCATGGCACCAGTTATATCTAGTCAGGCTTGACAGCAGATGATCATGACTAGAACGATACGTGGGGCATGGTTTGGAGGTTGTGCGGTAGTTGCGGTGGCTGGGATGGCCTCAAAGTGATCTCTACTATGCGAGCCAGCACATTCAACATCTTGATGCACTAGAGTAGCAAATAACGCATGCCTTCCTGATTAGGTAGTCTTGATTCAATGATATGAGGGTACTCTTTGCTTCTTTTCATTCTCCTTCGTGTCATCGTAAAGTATACCCTCCATTGCCGCCGAGCCCACCTCGCTCTATCCATCCTGTTGACGCGAGCATCTGTCAGGTATCTCCAAAGTACTCCTCAAGAATCTGTATACACCCTAAGCCACGAGGTCCAAGGTATATCCTAGAGCCGGCAACCGGGTAGCTTCCCTGATGCAAGTGTTTGCCCCCGGGGTCCCCGAATCGATTGACCAGAGCATCGAGACGAGACCCCAGTTAGTTTAAAGATTTTTATGTCAAGAGAAATTAAGACCCATTTGTTCTAAGTCGGAGTTTTATCCGAAGTGGAGGAATGTGTTAAGAGATCAACAAGGCTATCAAAACCGTCACAAAGAGCAGGCATTATAGGACAACTCAACGCATATCGTTAGTTTTGAGTAGATAATATGCTTACCGCGAGATTATGACATGCCCTGAGCCTTCCAATTCACGTACTGGCACAAGAACCACCCCAGTCATGATCGGCCGCCAAGTGACATAGTTCTGATATAAGGGCGCTTTATGAAGTAAACTCTATGCCAACACTAAAACGGGCCATTCTGGCACATGGCCACCACTGCCGACTCTAAACACGCGAACTTAAATGGATATTATTTAATTGGTTTGCCCAATATTTTGGTGCCGACCGATAGCGAAGAGATCGCTTGTGGGGGTAGTTGTCATGAAAACCCGGAACAGGCGAACAGTGGCTTGACCAACAGCACATCTGGCGGCTGAGTCTCACAACCTACGTCGTACAACATAAGAAGATCGTGGGATGTCTGAGATGGAAAGAGAGAAGAAGGCTAAAAGGACTGTTCACCGGGTTTCACAGTCGCATTTCCGGGCCAAGGCGGAACCTCTGCTCTGCCGTGGAGGAAGTATCTCGCATTTGGCAATGGATACCGGTGAGAGGATTTAAAGACAGGGCCAATGGCAGTTTCCGACTCCCACGCCTATTCGAGTTGGGGTTACAGTTGACCAAGACAGTGTAAATTGATGGCATCTCTGTTGAACTGTGATCATCCATATTGAGCTAGGTCTCTAACCTTAGCCCCTTCAGCTACTAACAGAATAAGACTAAGAGCCTGGCGAGCTGGTCATGCACGCCATAGTTACAGACGAACTAACGGACCATTATTCCTAGCGAACAATAGCCTCGACAGGGACACCCCTGAGTGCGGAAGAATTGCCGTCTTGTCATTGTCGTTGAGCGGTTAGGTCAAGAAGCCTAATCCCGGAGCACACAGTGTGTTGTTAAAAGAAGGAAGCGATAAGTCAGAGTCAGGCTCCGAAACTGAACAATTGAAGGTGTTCGGGGGCTGGAGAACAGAGACGCTGCAATGATCATTGGCCCGGATGCAAAGCGGCATTTACGAGCGTGCGGTGGCACAAGGCAGACAGATACAGCGATGATATAATGGTGTTTTAAAAGTGAAGTGAAGAAAGGCAATGGCTTGTGGCTGTCGGGGCTGTGAGTTTCCAGCCGGAAACCTCAAGACCGGCCCCCAAATCTGCGTACCCAGCTCCGAGAAGATAAAAAAGAGTATTTCTAAAATACAGAACTCTTATTATTTAGCTTATTATTAAAAAGAAGCTTTGTTTAAGAGATTTAACTCTGCAATATTGACTCTAGACTCCCTGTCCAACAGCCCATCAAGATCTCAGCAACCCCTGATATCACTGACATGACAAGATCTTGTCACCAGGCCGCCATGCCACGGTAAGGCGTATGATCATCACACATACGGTGGATAGTTATCTCGGCATGTATTTACGGTTACTAACGACAAACTATTTGGCCGGGCGTGATCCAGGTACCCGCGACATGTCTTAGCGCTCGCTAACAAGGACCGGAAGAGTGATGTCGTGCAGCCGAGGCCAGGACTAAGATCCTTAGTTTGATATCGATCAGCCTTGTTTCTGACGATGTTTGTCCGGTGAGTATTAGCGAGAACTAGTCGAGGAATGTGTGGAAATAACAGTTTCCCGCTTAATTGCCGAGATGATTTGGCCCTGACGTGAGAGCACTCGGGGGTTTATTAAGAGCCAAAAGAGCCTCTTCACAGCATAAAAGCTCGGTTGGAGATATTTCTGAGACCATCATAGCTAAAACTGACGAGTTTGCCAACTCAGAGATACTTGGCCTCGCAGAGGTGCTATCCCAGGGCATCACCACCCCTTTCAGCAGCCGCCATGCCTCCATAAGGCAATCTTCTCGTTACAGCGGCCCCACGACTCGCCCAACCAACACTGACGATGTAAAATAACAGGGAAGGATTGTGTTTGGCCAACAAGATGGATACAAGCCGTGTACTTCTCTCTCAAGACTGACCTCCACAACTTGATGCAGTGTGACAAGTAACGAGTGTACCCCGGGGAGACTTCCGGAGAACAAACACTCATCAAAGTGCAGGTGTTTGCTCTTGGCGGCTATTCAGACTGAGAGAAATGGAATGGGCCTTGTAAATCGTAGGACGTGGGACATGCTGTCCTCGAAGTCGGGCGGTTAAGAGAGGAGTTGAGTTGAGGATTTAAATAGTCCGCTCTGTTGTCTCGAAAGTGAAGTTATACTCAAAGAAAAACTAGAGACCTCAAGAACTTTATACCAAATTTATATCTATTTTCTACCCTAACCAGCATATTTTTGCTTTATTTCTAGCAATGGCAACTCTCAGGGGCACCACTCAGGACTATGCACCTACCATGCAGCGCTCTGGCAACGATGGCGTTCTTGGTGTAAACTCTGGACTCCTCAGGGAATCACTTATCAAGAACTCCAACTCCTCCAACGCCGCACTGGCTGGTCCCCTAGTCTGGTCCGGAGCAGACTATCAGGGAGATCAAGCTTACACTCTCCGTCTTAGCGGCGAGGAAGCTAAGGAAGTCGACAGCGCCCTCGCTAGTTTCAAGAGTTAGATCTCCTGCTACGCCTGACTCGGAGAGGAAAGTTGCTAACGTGTGAAACTAGCTCTTGGACTCGACGGCGACGAAGTCTGCCCTGACAACTTCCCTCTTCCAAACCTGTCTCGCCGTCTGCGTGCCAGCGCCGAGACTCTTCATCTTGGAAGAGGCTTTGTTGTCATTCGTGGCATCGATGGCGAGAAATACTCTGTTGAAGATAGTGTTACTATCTTCTTGGGTGTAGCTGGCTACGTTGCTGACAAACGCGGACTCCAAGACCGCAAGGGTAACATGCTATGTACGTTTCCGGAAATTTAAACCTTCAGCAAATCCAAGTCCCCCAACTACTATTATTTAAGAACCATCAGTTTTATCTAACGTTTTCAGCTCATGTAACCGATTCGAAGCAATGGAAAACTCCTGCCGACGCGCGTCATGGTATTCATACCAATGGACCTCTGGTAGGTTACATCAACTCCACGAAAATAATACTCTACTTACTAGTTACAGCCTTTCCACACTGACATGGGATGTGACATTCTATCCCTTCAAGTCCGAGACAGCGCCAACAAGGGAGGATATACCTATCTCAGTTCAGCCTGGACTGTCTTCAACGACCTCCTCGACCGAGAGCCAGAAGTCATCAAAACACTCCTGACTCCCAACTGGCCCGTCCAGCTGTAAGATAACTACATCCTCTACACAGTGAAACATAACTAACAAGTTGTCTCAAACAGCTCGGGCCGTAAGTTTTCCTACTATCTCGCTCCTGTCTTGACATTCCACGATGGCAAACTCCTCGCGAGCCTCGACCCGCATCGCCTCGGACCGCACCCGAGTATGACGAACTCGAACATTCCCTCTCTTTCAGAGGCTCAACTCCATGCTCTTGAAGTTATCTCAGAGGCTGCTTCTCGTGTTGAGTTGCAGCTAAAGCTTGAGACAGGAGATCTCTTGTTCTTCAACAACCTCGCCCTCGTCCACCGCCGAGACGCCTACACTGACGACGATAACTCGTCTCGTCACATGGTTAGACTTTGGCTTCGTAACCAAAAATACGGCTGGGCAATTCCTAGCGGTATGCTTCCTCCCTGGGAAGCTGCCTATGGAGAGAACCGCAAGATCAAGGCTAGACACTACCCTATTGTGCCCATGGCAGAGTACCCTGCGCAGAAGTACACTACCAGCTCTGCAGCCTTTATGATCGAGGACTCTGAGACTTCAGACGAGGAGTAATGATTCTCCGACCACTCTATGTTCTTTGATTTTGTCTCTGTTCTGAGACCTTCAGTCATTTCCGTGTCACGACATGTTTTGGTTTATCAAGGGTTTCGAGAGTCTATCTACTGTCGCTTCCTTAGGAACAGCCTACTATAGGTCACTATGCAGGACTATATACTAGCTATTAGTCGCTCATTGGAGAATACAACCAACAACCATCATCCTGCAATGCTGTTGTCTCGAGAGGTCTTGTCACGTGTCGTTATCATGTCAGAATTGGAAATAAAAACCTTCCGTGTTGGTAGTTCCCCTTCCAACTCTTTTTTACATTCCTGTCTTTTGCTTCCATCTTCTTTTCACACGTCTTCGTATACATCGTCAGATATTTATGTCTGTTTAAGACAACCGTTGACGGAACGTTCCTCCCGCCATACCAAAGCATGTTCCCATCTGCCACTATATAATCAAACTCCTCTGGAATGGCATGGCACAATGGCACCAGAGTAACTGATTATTACTGGCGTCCTTTGACTATGACGCCAATATCATAGCCCTGCCTATGTACTCGTGTCAGCTGAACTACAGCTCCTAAGAAACCTGCCCCGAAGCTATTGAAAGCGATGCAACTTCAAGCGTTCCCTCTCCGACGAACACTACAATGTCTCGCGAATGAGAAAAGATTGAAACCTCTATCGGCGCCTCTCGGCAAACCAAACTAGCTAAAGAAGTGATATGCACGGGAATGGCTTGAAGTTTATATTAGCACCAAGCTAGTCATTATCCCTGTGTGAGAACAGACGGTAAGATGATTTCTTTTCTCTTGCTGAAATCTGAGAGTTAGAAAAGTGAAGCCTCTAGGTCACATCAGCAGAAGCAAATCTCACGATCCTTTCCACTTTTGAGACGAACCTGATTCTTTGCGAAATTACATAGTTCCTTTTCAGTACCCTCCTCGTCTCGCCCTTCGTCTCCATCAACTGCCGAAGCGAGTCACAAGGACCTCATCACAAACATGGCCTGTTCCAAGCTTGCAGATCTCAACTCCTATACACATATGTCACATCGTGAATATCATCGACTAGAAAGAGCCGGTTGCGGGCCGTGCTGGCGTTCTGGTACCATGTCTCGGCACAATCTCTCGAGATTGACGATCTTACTGGCCCCTGTCATGTCATAGGATATCTCAATACTCGTGTCTCAGACATTCGATCACGCCCTTTGATTATCCACTTTCGCATTGTTTGAATTTCTCCGGTCACGAACCTGCGGTTGATCGTCGAGCTGTCAAATTTTCTACCCCATAATATGTCTCAGCTGCTTCACGTGAGGATTTGAGCCTTGTCGTACTCTGAAAATGGAACCCCCACGAACGGGTGGCTTGTTTGGTTGGCTCGTAGAATGTGATTTTCGTTGATATTGTTCTTGAAATATCCAATTGACTTGTAAATTCCATCAATGTGAGGTTAATCTCCTCTCGCAGCTATAGACATACATCTGAAGCCATTGAATCTTTGTAATGCCTCGTAAGGCCAGCTGCTCGCATAATATGACGCTCCATCTCCGGAGAAGGCTATTTCGAATAGCCTTCTGTCACAATCCATGACCTCTCGGCACGGCTAATGCGTAGTGCGTGCCAGACAAACCCACAGTATGTACTAATTGACCACTCAGGTCAACCGGTGAGGCCAGAAGACGAGCTTTATGGGTCTAGAGAGCCCCCTTGTCATGTCTATGATTGGTTGAACAATATGGACAGGGGTATCAGTGCAATCCAATCCTTACTAGGGACGATCAATCTTCGCTGCAAATCTCGACGCTTGAACCATAACCCACATGAGTTGGTCTAAACACCAGAAGATATGAGAGTTGTGAAACCTCACATTCTTGAGGAGAAAATGGCGGAATTTATACAGATTTGTTGTGATTTTGGACTGTTGCTCAAAATGATAAGCTGCAGCTGTGAGCAAGGATTATCTCAAGGATGTCTCACACAACGGCCAGAGACTGGTAGACGTCGACACCCTGCAGACCAGGTCTCGAGGGCAACGAGTGGGTGATTCCAGGGCACGCTCCCTCAGGGAGGCTGCAATCTTGCCTCCTGCGTTGTCACTTCACCACCTCTGCCGAGCTGTCGTGTGACTTGACTTGAGCTTCACAAGCCAGCGATATCGCCAATATCGGGCATATCGGTAAAGTACATGCATGCACTTGACAGTTGTGTCTGCATGGGACACTGCCTCCATGGGCCTTGGCCCCCAGGTGCCGGTATGGAGAATCTTACTCGTCCAGCTGAGATCCACGTAAGTGAGAGAGGATGAAGACGAACGAACCAGACTCCACCAGCTCAGCTCAGATGTCAGGCCTCAATTCGTGTAACCTTTTGCAATGAGGATGCCTGCCAGCTTCGGCAATTTTGCTCGCCAGGAACAACGCCTAAAGGCACCCCTGTGAGAATTATGCAGTAGGCCCTGTTGGTGGGTGTCGGTTCGATGCTGTGTAACTGAAAGGACCCCGTTTCCAAGCCATGATTTTTCTTACCCTGTCTAAATATTTTGGGTACCTTCTTCTAACAGGTCGATCCAGAGAACTCGGAAACTGGAGAATACGGGCACGGTCCATTGGCAGAAACGAAAACGTCACCGCTCGAGCTTGAACCAACAGCGATTTTATAGTGGTAAGTGTTGGATCAACAGTGGCACTGACACAGTTCTAACGGTTATGCAGATGATGACGATCGTGTGTCAGGAGAAGTGTCGGAGCTTAGATGTGCCTGTCAGCAGGATCCAAGCTCTTCGTCAGAGTCAAGTGTATCGCCAGACTGTGCTCAGCAACCCGGACACCCCAGGTCAGACAATGCCACTTCTAGTGGCACTTACACAGGGGGCGTGTATCGCGGCGGGAGTGTCGAAGCTGTGAACGTTCAGGGCTTGGGGAGTCCTCCTCAGACTGATTCATCACCCGAATCTTCCCTCTCAACATCAACCGAACAAGCGAGTCCGCGCCATGGAAGTCACGGTACCCCTCTGCATGCAACTATTCTATCCGGACACGGATTAAGCCCCGAGAGCTCAGCTTCTAACTCCAGTTCCAGCTCCGGTTCTAGCTCTAGCGAGTCTTCGGATCCTGCTTCTGGACAACCATTGAGTCAGACACTCCAGAGCCAGCCCCCACCAGAAGTATCTCACCTGAACAAAGATACTTGTTCTGATACTTCTTCTAATGAACAAGCTTCTCGTTCAGTCAATGGCACCCAGTCAACCTCTCCACCTAATGACGATGCGGGTCAACTACGGACGGACAAGACAGAGCTAAAGCCAGACTTCCACTTGAGGAGGGGTGCGAAAGATGTACCTGGCTCTTTACTCTCTCCGGAAGCGCTGGGAGACTCCCCGAGTCAAGAAGTCCAAGCTCAGGTTGGCCTCGGTCGAAAGTCTGATGATGACGACGACTCAGGTCAGTCAGACACCCTTGATCAGTTAGAGATCGATTTCAATGGTTTGCTGTCTTTCGACCCTGGAAGTCCTACCATTGGTTCGCCCTCGAGACATGAGATCATTGCTAGCAGGTCTCAAGATGAGGAATTGGATCTTGAAGTCTGGCAGGCAGAGAGCTCTGCTGAAGATGTCCCTGGACCGGATACAGGCCATGATAACGGTAGAGCCCCGGGAGCCATCCACAATGGCATTCGACGCGTCCTCCCCACCGCGTCCTCCCCAGAACCCAATTATCCCTATGACACAGAGGATGAAGATCATACTAAAAGTGTTAACTACACAAGTAACGGTTCTGGTGGGAGCAGTGAAGTAGATGATGATGAACAAATTGACCAGCCAGATGATTCAGAAGAAGGTAATGAAGACTCAAATGTAGCCAATGACCTTCTTCGACAATTCAACAAAATCATAGCCGATCAGTTGGACTCGGACGGATTCCAGACAGATGCTGGTCCCTCAGCCTTCTCCTGTTGGGAGCGCCGCATTTATCTATCCTCTTCAGATAATGATTCATCAGCCGAAGAGGCCTGTCCCCAGTACGAGTCATCCTCCTCCTCCGAGGTGTCAGAAGAAGAGATTGAGTATGTCTCTGACGCTCGCGACACTGATGCTGGAACCGATGACGAAACAGAGTCGACTGCTTTGACTATTCCATCGTCTTCAACAAACGGCATCGCTCCCCCAAGCTCAACAAGTACCTCTGGAAGACGTCGCCTCACATCCGAGGAACGCGAGATTGTAAGAAACACACGAGAGATCGGCGCCTGTGTTCGTTGCCGCTTCCAAAAAATCAAAGTACACTTCTCTCTGTCCCGCAATTGTTCCCACTAACATGAAAATGAACAGTGCCAGGTGGACGTGTCCAACCCAACAGGAACATGCAAAACATGCAAGAAATTCTCAAAAACGTCGCCAAAGACTATCCATCGCGTTCCATGCTCGCGACTCCGAATCACCGACGTTGTTCTTTATCGAAGCGGCGGGCTCAAACTCACGAGACGATGGGCTGGTATTGAAATGCGAGATATTGGGGATCGACTTGACACCGTCGCTGTCACGATTGAGGTCTCACAGAATCTTTGCGGCAAACCTCTTCGTATGAATGTTGTGCGCTTCAGACCCATTGATGGCGACGTGACTGCCCGATATTGGACTGATGGTCTTCTTGGGAAGGACACGTTCAAGAAGAAGGAGCTGGCGAGTTACTGCCTTGAAAATATCTACGACACGGCCGAAAGCGTACGACAATACACCATTGACAATGCTCTTCCAGCTTTTTATCACACTATCCAAGAGGAGAGTGAATCAGAAGCTGGAGGAGGGCCTATCATCAGAACGTACCTCACAGCCATGGCTCGGTATATGGACCTTCACGTACACCGATTGAATCCCGACACGAGTTCCACGCTGACTCCTTCGCAGAAAGATCATAAATCCGGCGAAAAGCTCTCGGGGGATGATGAGAAAGAGCTCGAGATATTCGGCAACCTTTTTATCCTCTGGTGCGCCATCCGTAAGTACTCTTATTCAGCTCACCTCAATTGCGTCCCATCCTAATCCCGCCCAGAGCACACTGTAGGATCTCTCTACATCGAAGGCAACGAAACACTAGGCATGCTCCCCGAAACCGAAGACAAATCCTACCCTCTCTACGGCAAAGTGTCTGTCCCTCGCATGATAGTCGCTCAATTCGACACTCTCAATTACAACGAGGTCCTCGAGCGATACAAGGAGAAGCTCCTACGCGACATCGATTGGCTGTTCAGCCAGGACAAGAATCGGTGGTGGTTCACAATCTACCTCGTCGTCTTCATACTCCTGCGCGAAGCGAGTCGCATGACAGCGGATCGGTACCGACATGCGAGAGCTAACTACGGATCAAGGGTATGGCGACCTCGACTTTTGAAGCACGTAGCTAACGTAACAGCTGCGATACTCGATCCCCGACTTTGTCGAGAGGCTCCACGTCAGCTGCAACAATATTCTCGCCCACTGGCATTACTACAACTGCAATCAGTGGCCGACTGCCAGGTCGTCAGGCCTCGCTAATGGCGTAGGAAGGAAAGACCACTTTGAGACTCTGACGCCCAAGGATCGGCACCTTGTGAAACAGAATCTCAAGGACCCAGAGGTGAAGAAACACCTTCTGGTATGGAAACGATACAAGATGAACAACGGAAAAGGTACTGCGACAGCGAAAACTCTACCGCGCCCCATTTTAGTGCTAACGGATCGTTTAGTTCCAAAGATCACCCTCCAACACGACGCCGGATCCATTCGCTACACAGGAGAACAGGACAAGTACGACTGGGATCATCCTTTATACTGGGTATCGCAAATGTCTGAGAAGAACTGGTTCCCGCATCCGACGTATACAGGCGAACCTGTATCAGAAACGACGCTCATGGCTGTCACGACGGCTGTCGCTGCGGTCGGCTAAGGATGAAGCGAACCGAACACTCGACGAGAACATACGATACAAGGCTCGAATCAACAACATAACGACGGATACGAATCTTTTACTACATGAACTTTCATATTAACAGCATTCAAATAGTCCTCAGAGGTGGAAGAGTTGGAAAAAAAGGGCACAACGCCCAGCATCTATAGACACACGAGGGCGCGAATAAACATACACTTTCACACGAAGATCACAATAAAGTATTCTAAGCAGCGTTTATTCTGTGCACGAGATATGCTGATCTATCCCTCGCTCCAATTGGAGGCTCAAGTATTGGGAAAACCGCTGACTCTAGGTCTGCTATGCTTCCTGTAGTAATCGCTGCCTCCCAGCTCGCTATGCTTCCTGTGGTTCCTGTACGCCAAACAAACTCAAAACAAAGTCACGGCGGAAACCCTCATCGCCTCTCTGTCCTATGGTCTATTGCCCATATCTCTAAGCTTCTTCCAAGCTTACAAAACATTAACCTGAGGTTTTCTAGGCCAATAATTGGGACAACAAGCTCTAGCGTTGTGTCAATCTAAGTTGGTCAAGATCTCTTAGATCTGTGTCGATCTCCTGTTCATCTTCCCCGAACTAACTTCAAGAATCCACCCATTTCTAGCAAGCTGTGTTTTTTTTTTGTCGAGTGGAACTAGATCAGATTTCGCTTCTTCATTGGAGGAGGCAATCCCCAGTCGTCCTCGTCGGCCCAATCCTCGTCGACATGGGTCACGTAGCGTAAGGAACTTCCAAGGCCCTTGGTTCGAAATCGAAGTGGTGAATTTGAGGGATAGGCGTAGATGATGTCTTTCCTCGCCTCCTTGTCACGCTGGATCTCCTCCATGTTTCTTTCGATCCAAGTACAGAAGTGGGTAACATCCCCGATGCGTTGCTGCAACTCGATAAGATGGCCTGCAGTGACGAAAGGGTAAAGGCCCAGGTTGATCAGATTGTATCGCTTGACTGCTGCCTCATGGGTACTCGGATCCGCGAGTCGTGCCCGGATTGGCTTGGGTGCGCGATTATAAAGAAACATTCTGTAGGCCGCGACAGCTACGTCGAAAAATTTCTTGTATTGTGTCGCCCAAGTGGGAGGAGGTTCGAAAAGAGTGCTGGGTCGCAAGTAGACTGCGTAGTGCCCGTTGCTTGACTCAGCGGGATCATTGCTCTCCGCATCCCCATCTTCTTGAGCCGCAGTAGCGTAACCCTCGTCACCCTGGATAGGGCTTCCGTCCTCTGATACGTTGGAAGAGGTAGTCGCTCCGCTGTCGTAGGGAGCACCGGGGGTATTCGTTAGCCAGCGTTGGTTGGCCCCTTCCGAGCCAATGGGCGAAACAGTGTCAATGTCCACAGACTCGTGACATGAAGACTGACCGTTGGTGCCCTCGTTGCTTCCAGGATCGTTGCTAAGCCATCCATGGGTAGTTCCTGAGTTCGCTGCTGTCGTGGTGTCGTTGGTAGAAGCCTCAACGGCGTTGGAGGTTGGGCTGCTCTCAGCAGTAGGAGGGCCTCTAGCAAGACAGGCGCTAAGGATCTCCATGTCATGGTCGAAGGACATTTTGTCGGCAGACTCAGTATCGTTGCGGGTGTCATCTTGTCCAGCGGGCTCGTTAGAACCAGTGTCGTCTCGCGAGTCAGCGGCGTTTAGACCCTCCACGGCTGCAGCGCTTACAGCAGCCTGAACTTCCCAAGGGTCATCTTCGTCGTCGCCTTGTTCCTGGTCAGACTCATGCTCGGTGGTGGCTTCACTAGCACCTTCCGAGCCATGCTCGCACGAGTCCGAGTCTCCTTCACGATCATCAGTGTCCTACTCCGATGATGTCTCGTGGAGACTCTCAGCCTCTTCAAGGTCTGGCGGAGGCAGCGGGACGAAAGAAGCATAGATTTCGACTTGTTCAGCAAACGCATACCCGATGGCTTCCATGCGAAGAAGTATGAGAAAGTTAAGCTCCTTGTGCCCACGCCTGAGCGCCTTCTCTCGTTCCGACGCCGGCAACTTGGCCGTATCATGGAATCGTTGCCCCCACAGCGACATGATGGAAAAACAGATCACAGGTACGTCTGAGTGTGTCCTGGAGCAAGGTTAAACGCTTCTCTTCGAGCAAGAGGAGGCCACAAATACCTGAGCAGCTGGTGAAGGTGGTGATTAAGGAGTCGGAGCTCCAGGCCACGAAAATAATACGATCAAAAAGATGAAGAACAAAATTGTGTTCTATATGATGTTTCTTGTGTTTTTTATGGAAAGAAAAAAAAGCAAAAAGCGAGGTGGGAGGGAAAGTTGGTGGCTGCGGGAGGGGGAGAAGAGCGAAGTCGCAGAGTCCAAACGAGATGCAAGGTGAAGATTACGTTTGCAACCCCGCGGAGAAAAAACGCAGAAGCAGTCATTCGCAAGCTATGGATAAGATACAGATGACTACACGTCCAGAAGGGGTCACGGGAGGCAGCAAACACTTTATGCAAGCGGGTTACTGGGCAGTAGGGAAAGAGTAGATGAGTTCCTGAATGTGGTGCCAACGCCAGACAAACAGCTGATGAGACATGTAAAACGACGCCAGAAACAAATAGTAGCACTGCTATTGTCTACGGAGCATGTTCTTTTGGGCCAGGGAGGCACAATGGCACGCTTGGGGGCTTGGTGCTGGTGGAGGGGGAACATGGCAGTGCCCTGGCGGGAGCGGGAGCAAAGGCTTGGAGCAGCTGCTTCGCCTTTATCACCTCAATCTCCATTGAACCATTTCGATTTCTAGAAAAATACCCAAAGGAACATGATCCCACTTGTGTAATCTCATGTTAATCATAGCAATCATAGTATATGATGTCGATATCTTGGTCGAAAAGGAGCAGTGTATTCCCTCTTTGCTGTTCTGTGCTGGTGGGGAATAAACTGCAGCAAAAAGTAGCTAGAGTCTGCACCTCAAAGGCCCTGAAGATTGCATATCAACTGTACAATGACCATTAATCGTTGTTGTTCACACGTTCAACTTCATTACTGTTCAAGCCACGTCCTCTAATCCCTTTGTTGTATCCCTGTCACCCCTAAAGAATACATCAAAACAAGGCTAAGCTGGTATAATACTCAAAAAGACAAAGACCAGATACTAACCCTCCCGTCATCCTTAGATGCTCCACGGTATCTTGCGATTCCTTCGCTTCTAGCTCCCCTCATCCCGCCTTATGAACATCTCCACGACAGTCCGCGCTCGATCCCTCGACCCCTTTTCCTTTTCGTCTACACGACAGACCAGAGGTCCTACTATCTCGGCATATCTACGTTCACGCATCTTGCGCTTCTTGGTGTCCTCGTCCTCTGCGTTGCCGCGGCGGAAGCTCAGGCGGCGAGAGAGACCACCTTTGGGCTCATTTGTCACGGGGGTGAGTTCTGATGCTGCGCGGGAGAGAGTAGCTGTGAGAAAGACGAATGCAATGTTGTGGTTGGGTGCTGATGAGAGAATATCCAGGATCTGTGTCTTGGTGTCGGGCCAAGCGGCCATGGGTAAGGATGTTACGTTGGGTAACGATGTTGAGATCTTGGCCCAGAGTTGAGTAGGGATCAGACCATCCGTGAGAGACTCGAGGAAGAGCAACAGGATGGAAGAGACGACTTCCAACTTGAACGACGCAGGCCATTCCAATGGGAGCGCATCAAGAAGAGAAGCATCGTTATCCAGAGCAGACACAAGCTTAACCTTTGCATCCTGCATATCAGCCTCTCCAACCCTCCACGTCGAAGCCTCAAGGGGCCATCCAGGATCCCTTGGCAGCACTTCTTCCTCAAGCATCGTCGCCTCAGCCAAACTTCGTTCCACAAGCGTCTGCACCACCTCAGTAAGCTTGAAAAGCTCCTTGGGCGCTGAGCAATGAATATCCGAGTCGTAAGCAATGGCCCCCTTGATGCCCTTCTTCTCGACAAACTTTCTGATACCGCCGTCAGGGATTCTTATCAACTCTGCGATGGAGCGCCCTACACATGACGGTTGCCATATTCCGCGCACGGGAATGAAGTGGTCCCGACCGTCCTCTATGCGAAGAACTAGGACCTCTTCAATCTTGGCGCGGGCTTCGTTCAATGCCCGGATGTGAGAAATGGCCGAGACTTGGAGCTCCAGCAACACCAATGCTGTCTCTCCTGGATCGAGTGTGACTGTTTCCCCCAATGGCTCTTGAGACTCTTCATCGGCTGACAAGAACGTCGTTCTCAACCATTTAGGGATAGCATCGTCGCCGTCTTCTGTCGTCGGCTTCGTCACGAACGAGAATGTCGCCGGGACACTTCCAGTATTTGCAACCGTCAGATGCCGGATCTGCTTATCCAAGGGTGTGACCTCTCCAAAGTCGACAATGTTATCTTCATTGCCATCGCTGCCTTCCACGACAACCGTAATGCCTGGCCGGCCTTCATTCTCCGCTCTGTCTAGTTCTCGCGCCACTTCTGCGTGGATCTTGGCCTTGAGATCTGGTACGACTGCGTCGTAGTCGAGCGTGAAGATAGAAGTGATGGGCTTGTGATCAGATGATGTAATGCGTTGGTGCGAGGCGTAAATCTCCAAGTGTATGCGGTCACGGAAGCCCTCCTTTGTAACAAGTTCCTCGGCTTCAGGATCATCATTATCCTCGTACTCGTCATATCCCAAAGTGTCAGTTGATGACATTGGATCCTCCCCATCTGCATCAGGGTCATAACTGAAGAGCACATCCTCGTCCTCTTCCAGGCCTCTTGACTTCATCTCTTCATCTTTCTTCTTCGCCTCTTCCTCATCTTTAATCTTTGTTTCATAATCTTCTTTATCCTTTCGTGTTCTAAATAGGATACGGTCACACCAGCTTGGAGCTCGTTGCTTCTCGCTTGAGTCAAAGAGGCCAACTGTGCCAATATCATATTTATATGTTGGTAGAAAGGTGATTGGCCCTTCTTGCCAACCCTCATGGAAAGCTTTTCGTTGCTTGATAACTCTTCGTAGTTGGTCATGTGGCAACAAAGAATCGATGGTGGCCTGCAAAGAAGTTGGATCCTGGCTTGGATCTTCGGGGAAATCGTCAGGGTCTGGTAGATCGCTTGCAGTATCAAAGCTCTCTTCCCGTGAATGTAGCGACACTCTTGTAGAGGACTCATCATCGCTGTCTGAACCCTTCATGACAATAACACCTCGCTCATCGAGAGGCTTCGAGTCCTCACCTGCAGCATATTCACCTCGAGCATGCAGCGTAAGCAGCCGTCTAATATCGTCACCAGGTAGTCCATCCAGTCGAAAGTTCAAATCTCCAAACCAGAATGCAAGATCTTCATCTCCAATCTTTTCGCCCTCGTCTTCCTCAACGCCTGAATGAACGATTGGGTCGAATTGAGTGCGGGAGAGAACCTGGCCGACATCCCAACATCGCCGGTCTAAATACGAAGAGCCAGCACCACTAGCCAAGTGGCTATTTATAAAAACCATGCGAGTTGTTTCGCCAAGCAGCAATCGCGTCGTCACGGCCCCCTTGTTTCCAAAATAGCCTAGCAGGCCCGTACCAACTTGTTTCGTACTGACGTTGCTAATAGTTGGTGCAATTTCTGGGGAAGCATAAACCAACAACAACAAGCCAGTCATTTGTTCCGCAGTGATAAGTTCGTATCCTTTAGGCAATGCTGCTTCCAATGCCGCTTTCCATTTGTCCATAACACTTGTATCCGTATATACTGCTCGATTCATATACTCCTTGGTCGTGTTGAGGTCTACAATTTCCTGGAGTCCCAGCACATAAAGGCCAATATCACCCCCGGCAGTCAAATGCGGCTTTGAGCTGCCATTGTCCTTGTCATCCGTCTCCACGGCACTATTTTGTGAGAGATTCAGAGACGTCAATTGTTGATCCAAGCCTTCGCCGTGTGTGAACCAGGTCGCGAGGTCTTTATCAGTACCCGTGCACGCAGCAACGTTCCACGTCCCGATCTTGACCTTTAGGCTATGTGGGCGCACGAATTCCGATCGTCGGGCATGAACAGCTTTAGCTAGAGACTGAGGCGTCGTCGAGGTAGGATCCCCCAATTCAGAACCAGGGGATTGATCATTTTCGTCGGCCATGGACGCCGTTATTACAGTATTAGACGAAAGAGACGTGTTATATATACGGCACCGTCTCGAGATATCGCGGGGAGGTCGATTTGTAGTTCTCTAGATCATGACTTCGAACAACCTGGCTCTACCGTAGGCGCAAGGCAAGGGGTATTTGGGTCGTGTGAGCACCAAAAGAATGTTGAGCTAATTAGAAGAAGGGGTAAAAAGGGAGATAAACCTCAGCTTAAACGTATGACGTCGAGCTGCACCGTAGTCTAGAATGGTGGTGTAGGAACCTAGGGTCCAGCTCAACGCCCCGCGGCAGCGTCATCTTGCGCCTTATCGATAAGCAGAGCAGCGCCCAAGCATGCGCACTCGTGCCTGTCAAAGAGTAAACTTCAATCTCCATACCACAACCAACTGTCGATCACACGATCGTCTTCTGGGATCCTAATATCATATGTACATGAACCATATGTCTTAAACTATCATTTGTGACAAGACTATTTACAACTACCGATCACGCATCCACATACGCGCCCAACACCAAAACACAACAATAACTATCATGAGTCGACAAACACCTCGAAAGGCTCGCCATAGCCGTCAGCCGTCAAACCGTATCCCCGCAGTATCAGATTATGAATCCGATGCCGCTGCCATACATGCCGATTACGCGCCACCACCTCCACGCACAAACACCGAGCTTAACCTCTCCGTCCTCCAACGCTACCTCCCCTCCATCCACACTATTCTCAGCATAGCCGCCAACGCTGTCATTTACACATTCAACAGTGCTTCAGAAAGCTGGGAGAAGTCAGGAGTTGAAGGAACAATGTTTGTCTGTGCGCAGAGTCCACTCCCCGAGGACCCAGGCCAGCGACCACGAGCTTGCGTGTTTGTGCTCAACAGACGAGGACTTGACAATGTGATCGTGGACCTCTCACGGGTCACGCATGCAGAGGTGTCTGGAGAGCTCGTTATTATGAAGGTCGAGGGCGAATGGAAGGAGGGTGACAAGGTGCTTGGAGTGTGGATTCACAACGATAAGGACGAAACACGAGAAGTGAACGCTGCAATAATCCAGGAAGCTTGGAAGATTGCGCGGTCGGCAGGTCCAGTTGAACCGCAGGGCCCCGAGGCTGGTCCAGCTATGCAGGCAATGGGTAAGAGGTTGAGTCTGAGTGATCTATTCGGGTCAGGAAATGGTCTCAATATTGGACACTAGGTGTCGTCCAAGATGCATCAGAAACCTGAGGTTGAGGAATCGAAGATCGAGAAGTCTGAGGACTCTAAGAGATCTAAGGAGTCAGGGGAGTCGAAAAGGCTCGAGAAGCGAGGGAAGCCAGCTAAGCCGATGGAACGAGAGGCATCTGAGGACTCTGATACAGAAAAAAGCGAATCTGAGAAGTCAGAGCCAGAGGAGTTGGAGCGGGAGAAGTTGGTGCCTGAAATTCCAAAGTCTGAGAAGGCAGAGTCTCCAGGATCAGAGTCCGAGGTTGACACAGAGTAGAGCTTCCATGATACAGGGAACTACTTTTCAGTTTTAGGGAATATGGAAATATGATCAACCGCTTCAGCGTTGACATGGTCAAGGGCTAGAGCAACCCCAATAGTTAGCACTTGCACAGTTTTTGCCCAAAAAGGCAGGGCATAAAAGCCCAATAATGTAGAATTATAGCGGTCTGCACACAAGCATACGTTTCCATAAAGCCCACAATGGACTATGTCTATTTGTGCATGATATTCATGACGTTAGCAAGTATCTACAAGCAGAAAGCACCTATACGCCGTCCCCCCAACCTGATAAGTCGTAGAAGCCAACCCGAAGCCTAGACCGTGCCACTGATGCTCAACTCCCGAATCTCCTGCAATACCTGCTCCACTCTGGCGTCCAGTTGTCCCTCAGCATACTGATCTCTAGTGTCAGCATCCAGATACTGCTGTACTTGCGCCATGCGCGAATACGCCTCTGCACAGAAACGTAGCTGAATCTTGACCAGAGCTTCGAAAGTGGGGTCGAGGTACGGCACTCGGAGATCGATAAGCTGGGGTAGCTCGGTGCTGAGTTGCTCGTTCAGCTGCTCGTAAGCAGCCTTGGCCATCTCCATCTCCTTTTCGGTCCGAGGAAGCTTCGTGGCGTCCTTGTCGGGCTTCTCGGCGAGGCGCTTCACCTTTGCGCGGAGGGCATCGTAATCAAGCAGTTTGTGAGCGCGCTTCTTAATCGCCTCGTTGACGTCGGGGAAGTAGGCGCAGAACCGTGTGATGGGGTCGAGAACAGTTGTTCGGTAGGGGCCATCGAGAGCTTTGATGGTTTCGGCGTCTAGATCTTCGACGGCCTGCTTGTAACTTCTGCTGACACCGTCTTTCGCGCCTGAGTCGCCGTAGAACGCATCTATCGTCTCGGCGATTCGCATTTGTGAAGCGGTCATGGCTGGGTTCGGGTTTTAGTATCGAGCTTCATGTGTCGTAGATCATGAGCGTACCTCTCAGGGAGTCGAGATATCCCTTTGATTCCTTTTGTAGTCGCAAAGCAGCAGCTTCCATTGTCTTGAATCGTCTAGTTTTGTTAGATGTCGTCTTCCAATGAATCTGCAATTGCTGACCTCTCTTCGACTTCGTAGTCACGGTCATTCGTCTTTTCCACATGCCCTGCAACGCAATCAGCTCCACACTTGAATGTTTCATCCGAAGCGCATACCCGTCTTCATCATCACCTGCGTCGTCGCGCGATTCACATTCTTCTTAAACCCTGCCTCATATTAGACCCCTCTGTTCGGGATTGCGGGGTGAAAGCTGTCCTACCCGCCCACGACATATTGAAAGAATTGCTGGTATGAAATGAATTAACTGGCTTCGTTTATGTGTGTAATTCGACGGAAAGTCTCAAATGCGCTCGAGGATATATCGTTGTGAAGTTGCACAGGAGTTGGCAGGCAATAAACATGGAAGTTGGGGATAGAGTGACGACAAAACTGGAGCTCAGCCACACTAGTCTAAGTTCTTAGGTAGTGCCTGGCAGCCCAATCGGCTGATCGACGTCAGCGATGGGGCTGTGTTAAGCTCTGCCTTTTGATGCACGTGATCACGCGTGGAGGCCTGAGTTGGATCGGAAGGAAAGATTTTGATCTGCGCCTTGATATCGTTTACCGCGTCAGAATGTTTAATCCTCGCTTTCTCGTTGTCAGTCTGGGCAATCCCTTGCCCAAATACGAAAGTCTACATTCTGCCGGCCATTTCGCCCTCAATGGCCTTGCTCAAGTCTTGCGGCAACCTTCATTTCGGGAGGTGACGTTCGGAAAACAGTCATGTCTTGTATCTCAAGGTCCAAAATACACCCTGATTCAATCGCCTACTCTAATGAACGTCTCTGGGCGTTTTGTTGCACGGGCGTGGAAAGAAATGACCAATCAACATGACCCGTCATCACTCAGTCTAGTGATTGTTCACGATGAACTCGAAAAGGATTTGGGCATTGTCCGGCTAACGGCCTGGGACCGAAGCCACAAAGGCCACAATGGTATTAAGAGTGTCAAAGGATCCCTTTCACAGGATAAATACCCAACGTCGCCATTTGTACGAATTGCTGTTGGGATTGGACGGCCAGCGGAGAGGGACCCAGAGACCGTTAGCCGCTACGTTCTTGATCGGATATCAAGCGACAAAAGGAGAATTCTAGAAGAGGAAGCACCATGGAAAGTTGCCGAGTGCCTTGTTGAGCTGGAAAAAGAATGGAAGGCTGAGCTCAAGTCATGATTCGACCGCTCGCACAGGGTCCTATCAACTGCGACGATGCAACCCCGGGATTCTCGTGCGCCAGTGACGGCATTTTGTCTCAAGAATACCGGCAAGGCCTTTACAGTACATCTACACAGCCGGAACCAATTTTCTTCCAATATCTGGCTATCGGCCCTCTTTTCAGGTCAAATTCAAGACAAAGTCACAGGCAAGCAGAATGGTCATTATTTGACCACGGTCAAGTATGCCATATCACGCATGAAAGACATGAGTCCAATCATGCCAAAATACTATCAAAAGAGATAGCCAACTGAGATACCTGAGCCCCGCGTCCGTTTTTGTGACCACGCATGCACCAAATTCCGATTCTGCACTCCATTATCAAACCGCTCAACTGTGCCGGACTCAATTATGAGTTACGAGTCTCCCGAATTGCACATTCACGCATGTTTGCCGAGTATCCTACCTGAAGGTATGCAGAGACTCCTTATCTTGCGCTAAAGACGCCACAGACGACCTAGCTCACAACCGACACTCCAACTTCTCTAGATTCCTTATCTATGCCAAGGGTATGGGCAATTTTGCACAATTCGACTTGTCCAATGGCCTTTGGATCGTATCATCACATGAAGTTGGTTATCGCGTTGTGGTGTATTCTGATATCGCATCTTGGAGCTGAAATGAGCTGAAACCGTTTACGAAATGCCTAGTTGTCGGCGTCCTTGCTATCTGATAAGACATGCAAGAGTGTTGGTAATGATTACAATCCGGTTGTTCCCATGACCTGCTCGTTCTCGGGAAATGGTTCAGCACTGCTATTCGGGTTGAAGAACAATTGTCTGGGCGGTTGACCGGGGTCGATGGATATCTCAAGCGGTTGACGATGGTTGCTAAGGTCAATACCAAGAATCTTCAAGCAGAGCGGTTGAGGATCTTCAACATCGAAGTAAGCTCAGACTTCGAGAAACTGCCAACTTGTAGTGGACGCAGGTCCAGCTTATATACATGGTCCCCGATCATATCTATTGTCGTAAGCGGGCAACTCGCATATTGACGCGCGCAACAGAGGCTCAATCCAGGGCGTTGCGGGCGCAAAGCATCTTTGACACTTGAGAATCCGGGGAAACGATGTCAATCACATCAATTCTTGGCCACTTGAAGACCGTGTGCCCATGTGGACTCGATATGCTTATTTTGTTCATGTTTATCACCAGATCCTTGGGAACGGAACGCGGCGATATTCTACGTGACAACCGGTGATCCTTTGACCCGAGGAGGAGGGCAATACCTCGCACAACACAGTCAGACATGCAAAGTTTCAGCAATAAGCAGTCTCGAACAGACGGCAAATACACTCCAAATTCGGCACAAATGCTCACACTTTGAGCATGTCTATCTTTATCAAGTCTCGGCCGAGCTACACGACACTCAAAGACATGGATGCTGGTCCTTGTCCAGGGTCTCGACGCTAGCGCTCCACCGAAGGTGCCAAGAGATAAGGAAACGCCCAATCAGACATGCTCTATTCGACCTCCTTCAACGGTTCGACCTGGAATTCGGCAACCTTGAGGAGAAGTCAGATAAGAGGTTTGGCCGGTTATGCGGTGCGTCTGGGGAAGCGCAATATTGAGTGCATGTCGCACAAGAGGGTGTCGAGGCTTCAGTTTTCCCTCGGAGCTTTCTCGTCATGTAACTCTGGTCTTAGAATCCATTCCGACGTGTCAGAGTCAACACATCAGAGCTTAAAATATGTCTAACAATGGCGAATCAGCATGGCGTACTCAGCGCTAGAACTTCTATTGCGGCCGTCCGGATATACAATCCTATGATTCCTCAGTAAGCAAGACCGGGATACACTGCCGATATCGACAGCAATCTCCTCTCCAGGCGTGCATCAAAGGAGTCAAATACCTACAATTAGGCCAAGAGAAGATATTCATTGCGGACCAACTGCCAAGCAGAGGTTGCAATCCGGAGGTCCTATAGGGATATTTGTGCTTATCAGCACAGCCTATTTAAGCTTGGGTGTGGCGTCCCTCCCAATACAACCGGATCGGAATGCTGAGTGTGATAAGCAGCGATGGGTGTGCCAGACTCAGGAACAGCCATACAGGGGACCGTTTACACGACCACGACTTCATTTTTGGCACAAAGGAGTTGTGTCAAGTCAACGTCAACGCATTGTTACAGGATCGCCCATTCAAGCTTATCATGAACAAAGTCTTGGATCGTGGAGGATCATCATCTAGCTCAGCTTGGCACCTGAGCATTAACACCCGTGTGATATCTTCGTACCAAATACGGGTTCACCAAAGTCCAAACCGAGCATGTGGTGGAGTATCCTTCCTATTGCTGCTTAAGCTATGGGCGTCTTATCAAGTATCCCCCACACTATATGCCATACCCTCCCCCTGGTACCACGTTCGTTCTGTCTTGGTCGTCGTCGCAAGCTCAGTGAGTCAAAACATATTTAGCCCTGTGGCCCCGGGTTCTTCATCCTTCAATCACTCCATTCTTCCCAGCTTAAGTTGAAGCTGAAAAGGTTCGACTTGCGCAAAGGTTTGGATCAAAGAATCCGCGTCTCAAGCGCAGTCTCGTCAAGATGACGACTCCTTACAATGGCACCACTGATCATGCCGACTATGGCTACTCAACCCATGTGCATGATCTCAACATCTTCTACGACGTAGGTTTCTCGGAAACTACCTCACTATGTTATGTTGTCTAACAATGTCTATCTAGACGGGCAACTTGACGTTCCTCGCCGTCAGCGCCGTGCTTGTACTTCTAATGATTCCCGGCGTCGGCTTCTTCTACAGTGGTCTTGCCCGTCGCAAGTCTGCTTTGACACTCATTCTGTTGTCGATGATATCAGTTGCGGTCATCAGCTTTCAGTGGTTCTTCTGGGGATACTCCTTGACCTTCTCACGAACTGGAAACTCCTTCCTCGGCGACTTGACCCAGTTTGGCCTCATGGACACCCTCGCTCAACCCAATGGCTCTTCCGCTCTGCCTGACATTCTCTTTTGTCTGTACCAGGGCATGTTCGCTGCCATTACGTGAGTTCCCTCGAAAACTTCAGAGTTTACTGTCCTAACATCACCAGTCCTGCCCTTGCCATCGGCGCTGTTGCTGACAGAGGTCGTATCCTCCCCGCCATTGTCTTCATGTTCCTCTGGTCCACCATCGTCTACGACCCCATCGCCTACTGGACCTGGAACGCCAATGGTTGGCTCTTCAAACTTCCCAGCTACGACTTTGCTGGAGGCGGTCCCGTTCACGTATCCTCGGGAACCTGTGCGCTTGCCTACTCCCTCATGCTCGGCAAGCGTACCGGCTACTCCAACAACAACGGTCTTCCTTACCGCCCTCACAACGTCACCCACGTTGTTCTCGGTACTGTCTTCCTCTGGGTCGGCTGGTTTGGCTTCAACGGTGGTTCTGCTCTCGCTATGAACATCCGCGCCGTCATGGCATGCTACGTGACCAACCTGGCTGCCTCATGCGGTGCCATTGCCTGGATCCTCCTCGATTACCGTCTCGAGAAGAAGTGGAGCACCATTGGTTTCTGTTCCGGTGCCATTTCTGGCCTCGTTGCCATCACTCCTGCTGCGGGTTTCGTGAAGCCCTGGGCCGCCGTCATTATCGGAATCTGCGGTGGTGTCTTCTGCAATTTCGCCACCAAGGTCAAGTTCCTCATCAACGTTGACGACAGTCTTGATATCTTTGCCATCCACGGTATTGGCGGTATGGTCGGTAACATCCTCACCGGTATCTTTGGAACGTACGTTTCACCTATTTCTCTTTACAATGACACCTGCTAACTCTCAAAAGCAAAACCATTGCTTCTCTTGATGGTGGAGAGTACGATCCCATCGGCTGGGTTGACGGTCACTTTGTTCAGCTTGGTTACCAAATCGCTGGTACTCTTGCCGTCTTCGCCTGGTCCTTTACTCTCACTTGCATTCTCCTCTTCCTCATGAACCTTATCCCTGGTCTCTCCCTTCGTGTCTCCCCTGAGGAGGAGGAGCTCGGCACTGATGACGGCCAGCTGGGCGAGTTTGCGTATGACTATGTTGAGATGACTCGACACATGGCCGATAGCACACATCCTCATTCTGATGCTAGTGCCCGAACAAGTCAGGAGAAGGTCTAAAGGTCGAGATGAGTGAAATATGGGGCGGTTCAAATTGTCAGAGTGGAAGATGCGTGTTGTGTATCTTGAGCGTCACTCGCTTCTAAATCTAG